TGTGTGTGACCCACTAGAGTTAGTTAGTTACTTTTGAAGCTAAAAGGTGTTATTTAAATGTCAACCAACATAGATGGAATACCAATGAATGTCGTTGGCCTGAAGACACACAGAGAGACGGACAAAATTTTTTGCTGCTGCTGTTGTTGATTGGAGATCAATGTTCCAATTAATTAAAATTTTTGCAAAGTTTGTCGTTTTTTTTTCATGCAAACAAATAACGGTGTGCGAATTTTGTTATTAATTTGTATAGTGTTTGTGTATGTGTGTGAGGTTTTTGTATAAATCGCGGTAGAATAAATTAATATGTATATTAATATGTCTTGTATACTGGATGTTTCCATTTCTTGTACAGGCCTAGCCTGTGGCTCGTCTTAATAAATAACAAGTTTTTTTTTTTTTGAGATGCAAAGAATCCATGACATTTCGATTATTTTCTAGATCTTTTCGAAATAAAATATAATTTATTGCGCCTTAATGAAATGTTTATGATTAGCTATTTTTATGTGTTCTTTTGTTTTGTTTACGGTTTTTAAATTAGGTTAATCATTGAAGAAATATATTTTGAAAGGAAAGTTATGAAGATCTATTGTTTTTTTAGATTCATCTTAAGAAATCACTCCTGAGATAATAAGGTGTAAAAATCTAATTGGAATTTATAAAATTAGGAAACTTTGAATGTCTCATACTGGTGAATTAATGGAACTCTAGTAAATTATTCTATGATATTGAGAAAATGGGAGGGACCGTCTTTTTTAAAATTATTAACTTTATATCATATAATAATTTTTTAAGGGATGATATCGCTTTTTATTACTTACATAGACCATTTTGGCACACTATCTATCAAATATAGACTTAAGGATGATGTAATAAAAATAATACTGAAATGTTTGAAATTTCAAGAAAATAATTGGTCAGTTACACTATTCTAATCCTTTGATAAATTTGTCCTGTTTTCTGGATAAAAAAAAAACAATATATAATCATGTGGGTTTCACTGCGACTTTTTACCAGGTTTCAATATTATGTTTAAAGGAATATTATTATACCCTACACGACTATGTTGTCAGGACATGTGTGTCCGTCCGTGCGTCTGTCCATTATATATTGTTTTTTGTAAAGATCGTTTAATATTTAGGGGATGAAATGGACCAAATACTTAATTTTTGTCGGTTTTTCTGGTCGCTCCAGAGGCCGCAATTATGGTCCGAACATCGCGAAATTTTACATTGAGAAGGGGATCGGGCCAAAGAATAAGCCTGTCTGCTTTGATAAAGATCGGTCATTATTTAGCGGGTCAAATGAACTCTGACTTTTGTGTTAAAAATTACAAAATTTGAATTCTATGGCTTATATATTTACTCCTGAAGGATATAAACCCGAAAAGTTGATAGTATATCCAAGAGGAGTGGTTGACCTTTAAATTGATATCAAATATATTGATGTATCTATTCGGATGTCGGAGTTACACTTGAATATTTACAGGTGTTTACGTATTCAGATATATTTTAGTAACCCACTACCACACTAGAGGGCGGAAATATTGCGCTGATCGCATTGAAATGTTCAATGAGGATCCAGGTATGGTCAAGGGCATCGGCTATAATTCTCGGTGATGATCAGAATAAAAGTTTGGGATGAAGTGGACCGAACATCACAACTCAACCCACCGTGAAGGGAATCTGGACAAGTAAGTAGAAGGGCTGTACTGAATATTTGTAATATTCGGAACATGTAAGGAAGATGTGCTGTTGACTTATAATCGGGCAAGTCGGGGCAAATTTCACGAAATAATACCCAGGCTCGGAATAAACATTCGAGTTCCATGATAGTCGTGTATATAGGCCATTTGAAGATTTTAGATAGAATAATATTTATACCCTCAGCTGTATGTATGTCTAATGAGAGCGTACACCCTTCAATATGATGGAAGTATTCCTCACTGAAATAATGCCTTTAGACATAAAATGTTTTTTACTCAAATCCGGGTCATACAATTTTGAGTCCATTTTCTAATGTGTGTTTTGCTGGATAGCGCGCACTATAAATATCGAAGAAAGTAATCGATTTGGTCAACATACAAAATTTGATTTTTTTTTAATTCAGCATGAATTAAAGGAATCGATCATAGTTTAGGCTTTAAGTAATTTTAGGTATATAAAGTCCTAGACCCCTATTTTTACCGAAGTAAACGGATGGCAGATGTCTTCTAAATTTATTTATAGGACGATCAGAACATTTGGTGTTTGTTCGCAGGTATTATATATTTTGGAAAAAAAATTAATATGTTTCAGAACCTGCAATAATGTATAATGTTTTTTACTACGATAATAATTTTTCCTATATGATATCGAAAAAAACTCTCGACTCTGCAATCCTGGTAAAAAACATCCTTTCGAGAAAAACTCCTTTGGTTTGATTAAATCGGACACTCCTCTATACGCTTCATATAATATTTCCCTTTGTAAAACGTTGACATTTTGTGCAGGATGAAGCAGATGGTATGGACTTGTATACCATTTTTTAATAAAAAAATATTATAACGGAAGAAGTTTTGTTTTAGTTTAAAATGTTAGCAATTTTATGGATCCAGAAGTAGTAGACCGATATATTCCATCGTTGGAAGGAAATATTATTATATTACCCAAAATAATGAAAATCTGTCCTCATGTTGGTCACCTACATAAAAATCATTTTGATTATTTCACGTATATTTGTTTAACCGTTACGCATCATTTTCGATGTGTTCAAGGACCTAGCCCAATGTTCTAAACTGAGTGTATGCAAACCTGAGTGCCTTTAGTTTGGTAGTTCATTCTTTCCGGCCAGCAATTTACCATGGCGTTGCCCGCATATAAATGCGTCGATTGATTTAAGGAATTTTGAATGTCCATCACTTCCAACGAAAATGTTTTCCAAGTTGATAGATTGTTTTCACTCCCCATATATTTCAGAAAATTTAATTTGAAACCCATTCGAAAAACGCACAGAAGAAAGTATTACACGAAATGTACAATATGAAACATAAATATTAAATTCTGAATTTAAATGTATAAGGAATTATAAATAAAAAACATGTTAATTATAATTATACACTAAAACAGTAAAAAAAAACTTTCTTCTCATTTTTAATCTGAACCTCGATTTCCTGTTCGAAAATATTCTGTTTTTGATGACTTGTCACTCAAAAATCTTCTTTTTAAAGAGAACAGATTTTGTACTTTTTTGAATAACGTTGGAATTTTTTCAATGCACGTGCATTTTGTAGACATTTGAAAATCACGGAAATTTGAAATCGGAATTGGGGGGAGGGGTTATATGAGGATCTTCCTTAATGGAACCCCCCCCCCATTCTCGATTTTAATTTTTGAAGATTTCCAATGTGCTGGTAAATCAATACCAATGCTTGTTAAGGTTTGTAACTTTACACATATATATTTGAAGATTTAAAAGAGAAGAAAAATAATTTACAAAAAATTTTTGTTATTGTTTTATTGTTGTTTTTTGTAATTAAAGAAAAGTCCTTATTTTTGATGGCGGGCATGATAACTCCTCACTGGAACATCGGAATCAGAAAATTCCAACGGTGTTAGAAAGAGTACATGTCTGGCTCTCGTATGAACTAGGATTATTGACTTCGCTCTAAAATTAACAAAATGGCGGACCTTTGAAAAAAAATTTGGAAAATCGCCGATTTTTGACCAAAAACCAAAGTTAAAAAATAAGGAAGATCTTCACCGATTGGCTTTATCCTAGTTCATACGATATCTATACACTCACAGAGAAACGTGTAAAAATTTGAAATCGATTGGGTTTTTAGTTTTGAGTTATCGTGCCCGCCATTCGCAAAAAAAATGTTTAGAGAAAAACGCGTTTAAAGTTTGAGAAGCCCTTCAGCCGTCACTTGATGCTGACACAATAAATCGGCTATATCATCAAGAGTTCTTGAGATTTTCATTTGAAAATTTGTATGGACATTCTTTAATTAGTGTAGAATCGAATTATATCAACAAAATTTTTGACCCCGAGAATGGGGGGGGTCCCATTAAAGTGGACTCATATACCGACAGTTTTCAAAATATGCGCAAAATCTCGAAATTGGACACTGCTCAGTAGAATAGAATATTTTTTTGATGCAGAATATTTACATTTTATGAAGAAAATAGGCATGTGAGACATACGAAATAACAACATAAATATACACATAATTTAAACCCGCTCCTCATATAAATATGTATCGCCATCAAAAATCACATATTTCATAACACCATGATCAAACAAATCAATATTTCCTCGCACTCATTTATTTTATCGGTTTGTTCCTGACCCAAAAAAAAAAATCTACTAATCAAATTAATAAAACGGTAAAGGTCAACAGTATCTGCAGTAACATCAACAAACAAATTGCACATGTCTATCAAAAATTCATCGAAAGAAACTAATGAAAGCAACAAATCAAAACAGTGGAAGGTCTTCTTCAAAAATTGTATCAAGGAAAAATTGATTTAAACTTGAATGGCAAATACAAAAAAAAAAAAACACATAAATTAATTTCAGTTCAAGATATTTGAATATGCAAGAAAACGGAGAAAAACACACACACACAAACAACAACAAAAACAAAAAAATTAAACAGCTGCCACTGACATAATCGAGGTTACTTTGTAAGATAGCGGCAGCAGCATACAAAAAGTTCGTGTCTTAAGTCTTTTGTTTTGTGGTACCCCCACAAGATAAGCAACCAAAAAAAAGCATGAAGAAAAACGAATAAAACAAAACAACTTTTTTTGCTAATTGTGTTGTTTCAAATGTTACAGCAACAATAAAAACATTTTTTTTTTTATTTTAATCTGTGGGAGAATATAATTATTCCGATATTTTTTTGCATGATGTTTGTTTTGTGGAATTGTTTATGAGATTTTTTGAACAGCTGGATTTTTTTCTGTTTTTTTCATTTAAATTTTTTTTTTTTATTTGCATAAATATTTTATACTTACAACTTAAACAAATTAATCCAAATGCATATAGCATTTTGGGTGTAATCAGTGGATTTAACATTTCAGCAATGTTTTATATTAAATATTCTGTGGTTTAGTATTTAAGGTCCTTTGTGACCGTTAAAGGATATTTTAGCACAAACTATAAAATATAGAAAATAATTTATTTTTTTAAATAAATTAAAACACTTTATTAATTTTTATTTAATATTATTTCTCATAATATTTTCTTTTAACTCCAAGGATTTCGTTATCCTTTTGTTATCTCTTTTATTTCTATTATTCCTTTGAACTGGCTTTCTTACATTCACCAATATTAGAATTTTGCAAATTGATTGTCACACAAACACTTGGAATATTAAAAAAGTAACAGAAATTATGACCAGTTTAGCGTTTTGTTTCGGCAGCTCACTTCTTTTTTATCCAACCGATCACTGCGAACACCCAAACCGTACTGACAATTTAAATGCCAACTTAATAATAACTTGGCTCTTACAGATGCTGCCTAACTACTGACTAGATGTCTGACTGGCTCGCTGGATGGCTGGCTGGCTGCTCGGTTGGCCTGGCCTGTTGATTTGCTGCCTGGTTTAGCTTTTTGTGTGGCTAGTTTTGTGATGCCAGGCAGCCAGCCAGCCCGATTGTTGGTGTTTGTATTTGAGTTGTCTGGACACAATATAATATTGTTTTGTGTATTTTTTGTCTCTACATTCATACATGTGTAGTTTTGTTTAATTCTCCAAAACTCCATTTCTTTACACAAAGCAAAGATGAAACAAAATAAAACAAATGCTTAGCACAAAGTTCAGGCAACATTAATTTGTATGAATAAGCCATTACGGTGGCACGGTACATTTATGACAGTTATTATAGAGGGTAATTTAAAAAAGCACATAGTGTATATACAATAAAATGTAAATGGTAATATTGCCAAAAATTAATATATCTAAAGACGAAGCTCAGCCTCCATGAATTACCTATTCAAAATACCTAAAATCGCTCTAAACATGTATATGGGGGTTTGTCATGGTAAATAGTGGACCTTCTAGAAGACCTTCGTTCTTTGAAAAAATGAAAAAAAAAAATACTGACAGATTGGAAATGTTCGTTAAGATCTTCAGTGTACCGAACATGGGAATGCAATGCCGCTTGAAAAATTAAGCTAGAACTATTCAAATACATCCAATTGGGCAGGACCTCTTTATAAGAAATATTTCAAAACATGAAGTTTACATTTTAAGTAAAGTACAACCTCTTCTGTTAAAAAATGCGAGAGGTCTTGAAAGTACCTAAAATGGGCGGACTTTTATATGGAATATATACTGAATTTTTTAATCACCAACAACTCGGAATTTTAATTTACAATTGGAGATTGCGCCTAAGCTCTCAAAAGTCCTCTTAGTATACCGATCGTCATGTTTCGATATAGAGTGTGTCTTTCTGTTGTAGTATGTAATCGGTTCTGGCCAAATACGACACTTATATATTGATAGGGTAATATGTAGGGAATCAAAATTAATCAAAATTTTTATTTTTTCATTTCCATATTTTGGCCGCTGCGTGACGGCTCGCATTCTCATCGTGCACAACGATTCGTCTTCTTTTCGTTTTATGAGATTTTTCAAAGATTTCAAGCAATTACCGAATTTACCTTCTACGTTGATCAATCGGAAAATACTACACTGCCAGTTTTTCAAACGAAACTGGTCTTTGTTGATTTGACCCGCTAAATATTGGCCAGATCCCTTTTCCCGTGCGCTGTGCGCTTATGTTCGGCTTATAAATATGGCCTATAAACGACTTAAAACACACACACAGCCCACAACCGGCCTACATGCAAAAATTTCGTGACGTGACGTCCATAATTTTTTACAAATTACAGGGGACAGACGTACACATGTCTAGATCGACTCAGCTAGTCTAGATATGACGATCTGTAAACTAAAAGATGGCGTTTCGTGGTGTCTCCTGACAACATAGTTGTGTAATGAAGAATTTACACAACTATATATTTTCGTGTTTAATAAAAACACGAAAATATATTTTTAAAAAATCCACGCCTATCGAAGACTTATTTTTCTTTAATCACGCCTTTTGAAGACATGAAAAATATTTTTAAAAATCCGCTGCTATGGAAGACATGACAAATATTTTTAAAAAAATTCACGCCTGACAAAGACTTCAAAAAATATTTTTAAAAATATCTGTGCCTATCAAAGACTTCAAAATATTTTTAAAAAATTCACGCCTATGAAAGACTATTAAAAATATTTTTAAAGAATTCAAGCCTATCGAAGACTTCAAAAAATCTTAAAAAACACGCCTATCGAAGACTTGTAAAGAATATTTAAAAATCCACGCCAACTTGAATAAAATCGATACTTGATAGACACATGGTTCCTTTCGATAATATGCATAGAATTACTTTCTGAGTCGATTTATGCGTGTCCGTATGTCTGTCCGTTCGTCCGCCCATGTATTTTTATGAACAAAGTACATATATAGTTTCATACGATTTTATGGTGCACCAAACTCCCAAGGATTGTCCTTTTGAGACAACATTTTGCACAGTGTACTGAATTAGGTCTGGATTCATATATGTCAAGTTTTGTTGAAATCGGTTCAGATTTTGATATAGGTCCCATATATAGTTTCGTCCGACTTTATGTAAATGGAGCACCATACTGCCAATATTGGACCGATTGAGACAAAATTTTGCACAGAGTACTGACATAGGTCCAGATTGATGTTTGTGAAATTATATTGATATCGGTTTAGATTTAGATATAGCTCCCATATATAGTTTCGTCCGACTTTATGTAAATGATGCATCAAACTCCAAATGTTGGTCCGATTGAGACAACATTTTGCTCAGAGTATTGACTTAGGTCCATATTGATATATGCGAAGTTCTATTGGAATCGGTTCATATTTAGATATAGCTCCCAAATCTAGTTTCGTGCGATTTTATGTAAATGGTCCGATTGAGACAACATTTTGCACGGTGTACTGAAATACACCGTGAAATATTGTAAAGGGCATTGCATCGAAAACGTTTTTTATTCATATTTTGCTCTATGATTGAAATTCATTTTTTTATAAATTTCAGATTGGTATGTGTTTGGGTTGTTTTAATTGTTCAAATATCAATGTACTTCACGCAGTTAATTTCGTCCGATTACATTTTAATGGTCCTCCAAAGATGCTATGTCTATTCTATTTAAAGGATATTGTACATATGAGCATCTCTTGTATGTGCCAAAATTGGCGAAGGGTATCAAATATTGGACTTCTGAACTTTCCTGAAAGTTTTTTTTAATTCACGTCTAAAATAAAACTTCAAAAATATATTTTTTTTAATTTTTAATTAATTGGCGAAGGGTATCAAATATTGGACTTCTGAACTTTCCTTAAAGTTTTTTTTAATTCACGTCTAAAATAAAACTTCAAAAATATATTAAATTACCACGCCTAACATTGGGCTTCAAAAATATATAAAAAATCTGCGCCCTAAAAAAAATTAATAATATCTACGATTAAAAATCTACTTTAAAAGAGTATTTTTGAAAAATCCAGGGCTATCGGAGATTTAAAAAAGTCGTATGCTATCAAGTTAATCTTTAGAACCCATCCTCGGAATTAATCAATAAAATCACAAACTCCATTAGAATCATATGGTATTTACGTATTATTCAAGCAGATACTTTATCTTTTGACACATTGTGGGGAATGTAACAGAAAGTGTAGACCGATTGTTCCCATCGTAATTGGATGTTCAGTTCAATTCATATGTGATGTAGTTTTTTTCACATTTAGACGTTTTATGAAGAAGGTTTTATTGATGTATTAGATGCAAAGTCTGTTTCTAATCGGATACTCCTTAATTAAACGTTAACAAAATATTGACAAATTTTGGGGGGAGGCAAAATAAGGAGTGGACCGATATTCCCTCATCTTCGATCTTGAAATAGTATGATGTGCAAAATTGGATGATATCCTTACTCTTTTCTAGAGTTATCGTTCGCAACTGCCAGCTAGACAGACGGGCGGAAGGACGGATATTTCTAAACTGCCTGAAACAGATTAAGTCCAAAAAAAACTTGATGCCTAAAACCGATATTTCGAATTTATCCTATAATTGTTAAACAAATTTTTTGAGATTCCTCCGACTTTGAGTGTTGTATTCTTTGGTTCAATTAAATACAGTTACAAACAAATCAATCAATCTACGATGCACATTATTTTTCTATCCAGTAATTAATATCAATAAACATGAATAAAAACAACAGACAACATACTCGGACATACATAGATAGTTCGTGTCTTTAATGTGGTTTGGTATGTATGCATAAATCTCATCCCCAGCGACGACTTTTCATTCAGTTTCGAGTAAATAGTTTTTTTCTATTTTTTTTTTTTCGTTACTGGTCACTACTGGATGTTGGCAAATTTTTCTATGAATATTTCTAAACATTTCTAACCAAACAAAGATGTTGATGCTGCTGCTTCTGCTACTGCTGAGTTCGCGAGGAGCGACATCGTCGTCAGCTCACAAATATGTTGGTGTACATTCATTCAATTACAACAACAACAACAGCAAATGTAGATATCGCCTATGAAAATGTTGTTGATTTAAAACGGCAGCCTCTGATGTTGAGATGTTTTACACGGGCTCAAGTGCTGATTTCTTGGCTAAAGAAGAATGTTGTTGTCGTTGTTGTGGTTGTTGCTTTATTTGTATTTCAATTTTACTTGCGGCTACTTGTCTTGTCTGTCAAGATTTGCGTTGTTGTCTTTTTTGTTGGTTCAGCTTGCCAGGTTTTGGTTTTTTGCTCATCTTAAGAAGAACAGAAGATGAACAACAAAAACAACAAAAAGCAAAACGCTGAAGTTGTTGTGATTTTAAATATTCAATATGTTTTATTTGGTGAATTAACAACAAAGAAACTGAAATGCAGTGGAATATTTTTTTTCGCTTCGTTTTTTCTACTTATTAAATTTGTTGGTTGTTAATTTACTTTTTGTTTTTATTTTTGTTGTTATTGCAGATGTCTCTCGCGCATTAGTTCCACTGACATAAATTTGTTTT